CTGCTGTCCGTCATGAACATATCTGCATAACCCTTTTTGTGGGTGGAGTGGGTCACAGCCCCACTGTCAAAATGAGGTCTGTATTGGGAGGTTTATATGGTCTACATGGTCTACATGGTCTACATGGTCACTTCATTGATGATTCATGTCATACTTTGCCTTACTGTGTCACACCTGCAATGGCTGTGTGCGTCCTATTGGGGGCCTCGCCCCTTCATTTAGGGAACCACTGCACTTGGCCCGTTATTTCCCCGCTTAGGAATCCCTGGCCCGCAGCCAAACTTTCTTGCCAACCGCTGCCTGACCAAGAACCAACGACTCGGTTCCTGGAGTTTCTCCACGGCGTAGAACGTTGGATATATTTCTTTGCCATGTGTTTGTGTTCCTGTGTAGGTGTACTCATGGGGACTATTTTATGGGGCACTTTGTCCTTGTGGGGACATCTGAGTGAGAGAGTGTTTTTGAAAAGTACAGAATAAAGACCAGACATATATTTGTAATGAGTCAGAGGCTGGAGAGTTAGTGACATCTGCAGAGTGCTCACAAAACACTAGAACCTGTGTGGGTGTGCTGTGCTTCAGTTTGGGTCATACTGGGGGGGGTGGCTGGTCTGTGTTGTACTTAGTTGAAGAATCCGGTCCTATAGAACCTCCCTTCAAACCCGTCTGTGGAACCGATCTCACTCTTCTCCCAGCGGTGCCTTTTTCTAACCAGCTGTGTACTGCCTGGAACTGGAACTGTTGGTGCCTGCTCTGAATGTAAACGTCCTTCGCCGATTCTGTACAAATCTGCTGATCTAGTAAAAAAGGAGGTCACATGACTTGATGTTGGTGAAGTTCTCAGTGGGTCTGAATCACCTCAGCAAAGAGAGGTTGATGAGGGACCAGAGGACGCAGGTGGACCGGAGGTTGGTCTCCGTTTTTGTTTCCTCTGACTGGACGTCTCTGGACGTCTGTCAGTTTCTGCATGTGATCCAGTGGTGATCTGCTGCTGCAGTGCTGTGGTTGAATTAACTTAGTGAACGACTGTTTATATT